GGTAAGGGTGAACTTACGAGGTGTCTCGTAACTGTGTCATCACGATTGCATCATCGGCCAAATAGCGATACGTCACAGGGGGACGGAATTCGGACGGGGGAAGAGATGTGGAATGACAGTTCTGGCCCGGTTACTTGTTAGCCATTATGCGATATTTTGCGCATAAAACCACCGATAGCGGCTAGACAGTACTGTGTATGACTGATTTAATGAACCACAAATAAGATGTAAGTGCTAATAAAGGGTTCAATACTACAACTTTCAACTGCTCATAAAGCCATGAAAAATGTTGCCGTTCATTGGAATCATTGCAGCATCTACAGAAAATTGTTGCATTACTAGCACATGAATCATATTACTGTAGTCTGTTCTCTACTGTTGTTGCTTTAATTTACAGAAATGCCATTTTTATAATGTTCAAATGGTTTTAATAAAGGGGTTTATGTTTACGCACATAAACCCCTTTTAAATTAAATTTAAAATAATTAATAATTAATAATTAATTTAAAAAAATTTCTTGTCAATCCTACTTCTGATCTGAAGGTTGTGAATCTTCAAAGTAGAACTTTAATTAATTATTTTCTTAATTTAATATGTATCTGCATAGTATGTTTCTTGTGTACATTTAAATGATTTTTTCACAGTATGTCATAACACATGTTATAATGTATAGTGCTGTGTGCCTGGTAATGTCCTTGGTAGAGACAGCGTATGACATGTGACAGGACTGTCAAGGTGACAGCTGTCCACTTTTAATTTATATGTTTTTTCATGTTCTCTCATAACCCCAGCTGTGTTCCCAGAAGTCCCATGACCCTAAGTCTGGGGGTGACGGAACCTTAGCAGTGTAAACGGAACCTGTGAAAGGTGACCTTTCCACCAGGGCTGTGCTTGGGCGTGGTGCGAGCCCAGCTGCCCAGGGCTGTCAAATGCCCAGCGACTCGTCAGAGTGTGTCAGGATGGCGGCGGCCTGCCCTGATTAACGGCCTGCTCCTCCTCGCCGGGGCCTCCTGGCTGCGGGCCCTCCGTCTGAGCCGCGCTAGTTTGTTTTCACAGATGCGGACGGGAGAGCGAAGGGTCGGAACATGAGACATTATTGAGACGTGGAGGCAACAGGGCCGACAGACTGGCGCTAATCCCGCTTTGTGGGGCTGGGCCGCCCCGTCTCCCACACATTATCACACAGCGGGTACGCAGACTCGCTACTACGGGGTTATTTTCAGAAATAAACATCGCGCGCGGAGCTGGCAGGCCCGTACATCGCGAAGCGCGGCGCGGGAAAGCTTGTCAGGCGGCGTTACGAGTCGGCCTATGGCGGAGATGACAGAACACGTGAGACAGTCAACCTTTGCATGTTCTCCAATGACAGCCCCTCCAGATTAGCGCCATTTCACGAGCGTGTACATGCTTGTGGTGTGTGGTTGAGATTCCTCAAAGGGTGCCAAATGGGCACAAATTACATATCATTACATAATAATATTGCCTTATACTATTAATGTTGGATAAAGCAAGCATGCATCCCAAACTGAGGCTTACTTGTGAAATATTGCAAGATGTTTCCACTACACCGCTGGTGTTGTGTAGTAGGAAGAAAGAGGTTAAATTGTTATTAAACAGTAATTTAGTGGCACCGGTGATGGGCTTGTGTCGGTCGTTTGTGTCAGTGTGGTGCGCACCGCAGAAGCCTCTCTGGGGCACGATGGCGGCGAGACTCCTAGCTTTTCTCCAGAGTCTCCGTGTCGAGTGCTTTGACTTGCATTACGATACAGGCATGTGCCGATTAATGGGTCACCATTTCTGTATGTTTTTTTCTGCCCCGAACATTCCGGAAGCGAGGTTTGGTGAGTAGGCTCACTGGGAGGTGCCAGCTTGGCCTGCCCCCCCCCGGACAGCTTTCTGGAACCTGGGCCCGGTGGGCAGGCTGCTTCAGAGGAGCTTCTTTAGTGATAGCTGGGTGTTGCGAACAGCATGGGGCCTTTCCTGTTTAGTTTCCATGTTTAGTCTGCGTTCTTGGCACGGCACAGATCGCTACATCAGAGGCTTGAAATGCTTTCATTTCCTCTTTCTGGTAAAGCCCGCCTTGTGCCGGGAGAGCTAGCTGTTTTTGTTACAGCACTTCATGAAAGCTCCGAGAAAGGGGTCTTTCGAAGCCCTGTGTGTTTATCTGCCCCTTCAAGTTTAAACCAGTGATGCGGTAATGGGTCGGAGCTGCTCTGCGGCTTTGCTAACAGCTCATCCAGACCCGGAGAATCAGCGGCAGAATTTTAGGTACCATGGGGAGATTTCAGCATGAAAACCATTAGCTGATTTGACATTGAGGACTTTCTGCATCCTCCTCCATTTCTTCACAAAAAATAAATAACGTGATTCTTCTATAAATATACTTCCAAGGAACATTTATATTAATTTAGCATATATGTTTATTGTGCAACTTTAGAATAACAGTTAGACAGTCAAGTTGAAAGTGTAGAAATGAATAAATAATGCATTTTTTTATATATAATTAATTTTGAGGGAAATTAAGGAGTATTGTAGAGTGCTCATCACAGGGCATCTTCAACTAAGACCACGGTGTAAGTCACCCATGTCCGCAGTAATGGTGTTCAGCTAAAGCACGTAGCAAAGTTTGTATTAACAAGACTTGACTTTGAAAACTAGCATGGTCGAGGATTCCAAGTAGGCTGAATTAATCATCAGAGCTTGTTGTTACATCACACTGTGTGTCAGGAACAGCTTGTTGGCCAGTATTGGATGTGTGCGTACACGCGCCTAGTCCAGACCTTCCTGTTGGTACTTAACTATACACGTTTTGAAAGGGTGAGTTCACCATTGTGGGTCGCACTTTAATATTCTGTGAATAAAACATTCGGTCTCTGCGCTCCCTGTTTGTGGCGAAATGTGTCCACAGGTTCAAAATCAGTGGTGTTTCTCTCTTGTTTGGATTGCAGTGATTTGGCTCCAGCTCTGCTGGTGAGGTTGTCTTAGTCAGAGAACGGAGTCCTTCCTAATGCTCTGTGAGTCATAGCGCTGGCCACAGCACTACATCAGCCTGTTGCAGTTATTTCACTGACTCCTTCCACCATCATATGAACTTGACCTACTGCTCTTCCTTTTGTGATACTGACTCCTCCTGCCACACTTCTTGACAGTATGCTGACCTCTCCCTGCCATGGATCCCTGCCATGGTCTCGCTTGACACTTTTCTGACTCCTCCCACTGCCGACTCCTGCCATGGCCCCGTGTGCTTGTGCCGAATCCGCGTCCTGCGGCTATGCTAACCCCTGCCCCGGCTGCCTCAGCCCTGTGGAGGACGTTCACACGGACACACACAGTCGCTACCTGGCACCGTGACGTAAAATACAAACACGACGCTGTCGCACATTAAATGCCACCAGCAACCTCCCGCTTGTGCCACCCTGCTGGGAAGCGGGCGTCACACGGAGAGAGAGGGCGAGAGCGAGACAGACGGTGACGAGTTGCAGCGCTGCCCCCTAGGGGAGAATAGGGTGGCAGTGTGAACGTGACTGAGAGCAGAGCGCACACAGCGCCCCCGCAGCCCAGCCACATCAGGGAGGCCACCACTGACCGGCACAGGTTGCTCTCTCAGTGTGGTGTAAACCCCAGAGGGGTTAGGGATGGTGCTGAGGGTCCCTTGATTTCATTGTGGCCCATCTTCTCCCCTTATTCATGGTCATCCCCTCTTCCAGGCACACTTTTCTCTTCCAGGTTCTTTGCACCACGTCTTGTAATCGAGGAGTCTGTCTGCATGCCCCTCCACCCAGAAGGTGCCATGTGAGTGTGTCTGTGCGTGTGTTTGTGACTGTGTCTGTGAGAGCATCAGTGAGAGCGTCTGTGGACACATCTGTGAGAGCCTCTGTGAGAGTGTCTGCATGCCTCTGTGGGTGCTTCTGTGAGAGCATCTGTGTGCGTGTCTGTGAGCGTGTCTGTGAGAGCATCTGCTTGCATCTATGAGCGGTGTCTGTGAGAGCATCTGTGGGTGTGTGTGTCTGTGCACATGTCTGTGAGAGCGTCTGCTATGAGTGGGCCAGTGGTAGCATCTGTGGGTGCGTCTGTGAGTGCATCTTTGAGAGCGTCTGTGCATGTGCCTGTGAAAGCATCTGTAAGCACGTTTGTGGGAGTGTCTGTGAGTGCGTCTGTGAGAGCATCTGTGCATGTGTTTGTGCTTGCGTCTGTGGGAGTGTTTGTTAATCTGTTTGTGAGAGCATCTGTGCATGCATCTGTGAGAGCATCTGTGGACACATCTGTGAGAGCCATTGTGAGAGCTTCTGTGAGTGTGTCTGTGAGGTATGCGTTGAGGCTGAATGCTTTGACTACATTACTATAGGTCGTATCACACAGGGGGCTTTCTCTCCGCCTGCGTATGGTGGCCAACGCCAGGGATCCCGTAACTCGTTATTTAATGCTTCCTCACACTATTCACACTGCCTGCGATGCACCTTCAGCACCACTGTTTTTGATCACGCCGCAACGTGCTGGAATCCCGCTCCCTCAGCTCATCTGAGCTCCGTATGCTGTCCGTTTGATATTAATAATTTGACAAGGCCAGCACACTCTCTCCATGGGACTCGTTCCTAGTTTATGTTGCTGGCGATCTGCAGGTGCCAAAATGATGCCCGTTCCAAGAGAGTTTTCCAACTCGAAGCACAATCACAAAAAAGCCTTTTATTTCCGGGGAACGCTTCACTGAATACCTCACGCCCTATTCTAGCAAATGCCCCGCCAGCTACCCTGTTTTGTGCCGTGAGTTCAATCACCTTCCACCTCAAGCCACCCCGTGTTCAAAAGTCGCAAGAGGGCAGAATAAACCCGCGCAGCTCAAGTTATGTGGCCGCAGTGGCTTCCCGCCAAAAACATGACTTACATTCCCTAAAGAAACATCGGCGAGTGGGCGGTGAGACGCGCTATGGCCCCCTGTCCTCTTACTGTGGATGCCACATGCAAAATGGCGAGATGTGAGGACTGGTCATATTTACCAACAGATGGATGCTGTGCCGGATGGTGAGAGAGAGAACACGAATCACACAGAATGCATTGTACAAGACGACTAGCGGCACAGTGTCGGATGGAGGGACATGTTATAATGCTGCTTGCATTTGTTGGGGCCCCCATCAGTAGTGCCAAGGTGAGCCATTTAAAAACCTACACATCTCTGAGAGGTTTGCATGGTCAAACACCCAGGCAAGACACTGTCACCAAACCAGCAAGTCTGAGCCCTTCAGATGCAGAGAGATCTTATTTCAGTGATGAATTGATATACACCGGATCCTTGCTAAATCTGGGATGCCACGAACACTGCATTTTTATGTTGTTTTTTTTTTTTTTTTTTAGCAGTTCATATTTCAGTTTCATATGGCTCTAAATTCGCACTTGTTTAATAACATACTAAATTCCCGCAGGAAAACAGCTGTCTGGAGTGTGTTAATATGCCTTCATAAATACTTTATCTCAGTATATCAGCGCCAAAAAGTCATAAACATCTTAAAGTTTGACGCTAATCGGCTGAAAGATGTGTGCTGTATTTGGTTCAAAACAAGGAGTTCGTTTTATGTCGGAAGACAAAATCGCAAAATCCCATTTTCGCGAATTACTTGATTACAGGCACCCGGGACACTTGGGAAGTTGAATAATATCAACATATGTGACAGAAAGTCAAATATGGTTAGCGCCGGACCGCCGATAATGACTCTAATTCATATTAACGCCGTGCCAACTGGTGTGTGTGCTGGGGGTGCGAGTTTAATCAATAAATATCGCTGTACTGCATGGAAATAAAACAGCAGAGTATGAAGACCTCAAATGAAAGCCTAATGAACCCGTAAATTCATTAACTTTTGCAATCAGAAGCACGCCGGCATCCCCATCGGGTCACCGTTCATCACGAGTGACCCTCCAGTCATTGCCGGTGCGGCGCTGATAGACCGGGGGACCCTGACGCTTCTCGCCGCCAAAAAAAAAGAAAACAAATAAAAAAAAAAACCGGGTGGGGGGAGGGTTCTCCAAAGCGGCGAAGGGACGAAAATACCGTCCCCCAGCCGTTCACCCTAAATAAAAACCTTTCCACGAATGCACGGGCGGGAGTGGGATGGATGGAGGGAGGGAGGGAGATATTCGCCGTGGCGTGCTGTGACAAATCAGGCGCGCTTCAGTTCACCGCCGATCGGTTCGCAGCGAAGGCGCCGCGGCGCTCCGACCTCCCCTTGTTCCCCGGTCGGCTCCTCGGCACTTACACATGTGCGCCTGTCACCTCCACATCCTTCATCTCGGAGAATCTCCGCTCTCTCCACGCCGGTGCCCCCTCCCCAGCCGCATCTCCAGCGCGGAAGCCTTGTGTCCGGCCAATTCGCTTTCAGTGCAATCCAAACATCTCCGTTTTTTTTCTTCCCGGATTTTTTTTTATATATATACAGAGAGTGTAACCGGGACGATCTGAAATAAAAGCAGCGAGGGAGGCTTGCTTTGCTGCCCCGTCTTTCACCGGGGAGCAGCGGCGCGCCTAGGAGAAGTTGGGACATCTTTTGGTGAAGTTTTGCCACGGACTGGGACAATGGGATGCTAATGAGATTTCCGCAGGTAAGGGCCTGTTTTGCAAATCAAAATCCAGCGATTTCCCATTTAATTATTCCTCGAGCACATTTTTTTATGTGAGATAACATATTATAACGTATAATCTTTGACGTTAAGCAGAGAACTTATCCCCTGCCCCGTGCCAGACGTTGGATGTGTACTTTCGTTACACTTGTTCCTAAGAATATGTTTGGCGTATCGAAATAACTTGGAAAATAATCCATTGCTGTGTTAAATACGTGCAGCTCATTTAAGAGCGTATTTTATTCTATTGCATGTTATTTACTAAGGCGATTAGTCGTATTTGTTTTTATATATTACGTTTAATAGATTAGAGAAAATTGTATATGGCCAATAACACAAGTAGCCTAGTTAAGAATAACTGGAAAATAGTGCAGTAAAAGCAATGTGATTCTGCAAATTAATTTGCAAATGTAGCGCAAGTTTACCAATATTTCACAGAAAGGCCATTTTGTAAAGCAAATTGTCCGTTTTATACACCTCTGTAATTCATATATTTTATACCAATTTATGTTCTAGTTTTACTCGATATCTCTTATCGACTTCTAGCAGACGCTGTAACAGTCCGTTTATTATCATTATTGACAACAACAATAATAATAATATAATAATTGTTATTATTATTACTATTATATATTTTTGATATAAAGCAAATTAAATTTTGCGACAACACAGTAACAGTGAGATTGTATGCGGCCGCCGATGATTTGAGGGGCAGGCTGGTGTCTGACGGACGCGTGCGGCACCGGGGCTGGAAAAGGGGCTGTCGGGAGACCGATCAGAGGCGGCCTCGCAGCAAGGAGCTTCTGCTGCTTATCTTTCTGAATAAAACATATATAAAAGCATGCACCAGGCGTTCGTTTTTGGGAAGACCTTGTATTTTGCTCGCTGCCACACTTTGAGCACTAAATTCAACAGACAGTTGTGCCGTAAAGACACAGCGGAGTCACTGGAAATGGTTAAATTCGGGATACTAACAGGCAGCGGAAGATTTTTATATTTCTATGCAATCTGCGCTCTTCGCACGGTGATAGATCCGAGCCGCTGAAAGGTTACAAATGACGCTTAATTAATGAAAAGGCAGCGGTTCGCAGGTCGGCCGGGCATCTCTCGGCGCGGCGTAGTGCTGCGCACCGGCTCTGTAACTCCGCTTCAGGGACCCCGGCGCCACGGTCGGAGGACTGTCCGTTCAATTAAAAAAAAATAAATAAATCAGACGCTGTATGCTTTGCAGCGCCCTGTGCGTGTTCAGTGTAAAGTTTGTACGAAATCGCGCGAATAAATTAGATATTAATCGCTTAAAAGCGTGCTTTTAAAATCTGGATGTGCGACTAGGTGACTGGCTGTGCTTTGTAAGAGAATCCCATCTGAATGGAAGTAGAGCTGGTGCAGCTAAATCAGCCGCGGAGTCCGTTCTCTCAGACACTCGCACTTTCATTTAACGCGATTTCCCCGAAGAACGGCCCCGCTTGCTGTCACCGGAGCCCCTGCAGGTTCCGGCAGTCGGCGGCAGTGCGGGAGCGGCCGAAGCCGCCAGACACCGAGAGGTGTGCGTCTAATTCCGAAATCAGTACCGGCCGATAGCATATTGTGTGCTACTTTATACGGAGAAGATATTATCGCTGTCTAATTGTCCTGAAAACTGACACTGGGGACGAAAGCTTACTGGAAAGTAACAAATAGTTTTTTTGTTAAACCATGGAACAAAAAAGGGGGAAATGCAAAGTTTTTCAAAAGAATCTACCTGTAAAATATTAGCATATTTCATAGGGAAACTAGGAAAAAAGAGAAATTGTACTTTTTGTTCCATCATTTACCTCTGTTTCATGGTTCAGTTAAAAATTGTATTATTGATAGTTGTTTTGTTTACTTGAGTATAGGCCTTACACGGGAAAAAAAACTTCATAAATTTTGGTACTATGCCGTTAGCCTGTCAGCTGTGTAGCCCCGGTTTCAGCAGCCAGGAGCTTCACGTGTCCCAAACGTCTCTGTTGGACCTCTGTCCGTCTGTGGACGGACGTCCTGCTCATGGCGGCCGTTAGCTGCTGGCAGGCTGAGCGCCAGGGGCTGTCCTGCCTCCCCTGGCTTTGTGGACCTTGTGTTTCACCAAAGATTATTTTGCCACCTGCCTGATTTAATTTTACCTTTTAATACTGTGCATTTTGATATATGTGTCGCTGTGGCATATTTCAAAAGGATCACTACTAAAGTGTTAAATTTCTCAGCCTACTTTCAGAACAATGAAGGATCGAGTCTTGCTTATTTTATATGTATTGAAATAGTTTTGGGTGAAATGGGTAATTTATTTCACCTTCAGTACGTGGCGCAGGCTTAATGAATCTGTGCTTGTAATTGAGACGAATGTTTCTGTAAGGAGGAAGAAGCGCGAGGGCTGAGCTCGTCTGCTCAGGCTGTGCCCGCTGTTCATGCGGGGGTTCAGCCTGGCTCCACGGCTTCCAGGGCCAGCCACGTGGGCTGCTCGGTCATGGGGGGGCAGCGGGACATGCCACCGCCAAAGACGGAAAGGCGTTGTTGACTTTAAATTTTTGGATCAATGTTAATAAAGTTGTCTGTGTGTCCCCCCCCCCCCCCCCAAACCAGTAGCGGGTGTGACCTTCTCATCGCCATGGCGGCAGTCCAGCCTCTCACTGTCTCCCTTTCGTCGGGAGCTGAGTGGCAAAGGAGGCTGTGAAGTAGCAGGGTCTCCCTCAGTCTTTGACACACACATGCAGCGTCAGTCCTTTTGTAAAGAGACAAGGACTGTATGAACTGTACACGGCGTGTGTGCAGGCGGCCGGCCCTGTGCTGTCTGCCGCCGAGTTTGTTGTGAGCCCATACTGACACCCAGGCCGTTCTCGCGCTCCTTCCGCCACATTGCAGGCCGATAGAGGACGAGTGTGGTATCTATCTAACTGTAACCTGCTTCAAAGCATGGTCACACGGCACACTGACGGTGGCAGGGACCGGGAGGGGGGCTCCTGTCATTACTGTCAACATGAAGACATATTAGTCAAGGTGGGGGCGAGAAGGGTCAGAGGCCAACAGCCGGACTGGACCCTTCCCCCGATCCTGGGCGACGTGTCGAGTAGGCGAGATGCGGCTGCCTGCAGGCGAGCCTCACATGCCGAAACAGGCCAGTGCCACAGTGGCAAATAGCAGGGATGAAAGGCAGGCCTTCTGCCTGCTCGTGTGTGAGCCTCACATGCCGAAACAGGCCAGTGCCACAGTGGCAAATAGCAGGGATGAAAGGCAGGCCTTCTGCCTGCTCGTGTGTGAGCCTCACACTCTTTGGCTTCTGGGAGGTTAAGTGGCAAAACGCTGGTGGAGTAATCTGTGCAGGCAGAGTGTTCACTCACACACCTACTCACACACACAACTTTGTTCGGCAAGAGAGAATCCCCCCCCCCACCATTGTTTTTCACATATTTCAGCTGAATTCACTTTTTGCTGTGAAAATTTCCTTTTGAATTTTTGAATTGCATTCTTCTTATTTCTAGGTAATTAATTCTGTAATTTTTTTTAGGATTTTGGTCGGTCATTTTAGGAATGACCTACCAAAGAGACATTCTGCCGTTTTCCGTTCTTTTCGGCAATCTCCTAATTTTTTCTCTCCAAAGAATAATAAATTTTTAAATAATATTCCTTTTCAATCTAAATCTCCTCCACTAAAATGTGCTCTAATTGCCGGTATTTTTTTAATCACACTTTTATTTATGTTTTTAAACACTCCTCTCTCTCATCACACTGTAAGTTTAATGACACCACATCTTATAAAATGTAGGGCCGCATAATTTAGAGAAAACCCACCCCAGAACTTCCCCCCCCATCTGGTATTTTTAATTCCCCTCACCAACATTAGCAGGTGAATTTCAATGCGACCGGGGAATGGGGGGCAGGAATAAGCTGGGGAGCTGTAGACGTGTCTAATTCACTTAAGCAGTGGGGGGGAAAGGCCATTTAAGACTATACAATGCATTTAAAACAAATTTAGGACAATGCAGCACACTTAAATAAAATGAAATAAAATGGCCCATTAGCAGAGATGGCAAAGTTTTAATGTCAATAGAAAAAAAATAAATAAATAAGAGCATATCTCCGAGAAGCTGCCACAACCACCGTCAAATGAGTAAAAAATATTTTGCCACTGTAATACCAGTTTAACAAGCAGGTCAGCCGTATAGTATATACGTATACTTATAGTAAATAATTAAATGTCAAGTATTTTAACATACTGCTTAATAAAACGGAAAAATAAAAAAGATTTAGTATTATTTACTAGCTATCATAGGTATAGAGCACATTTTGAGGTGAGTTTTTGACCGGATGGGATTTTTAAAGCGCGTTGATCTCGACGGCTCATTTTGGGGGCTCCGCATGTCTGCGCCTGGAATTCTGTGCGCCCTCGCGGTGCATTCATATTCCATTACCCCAGCCTTGCCTCGATAGGGGGGTGCTCGCCCGATGCCATTTAGTGCTTCACCCAAAGGTGAGGCTGACACGTTACTCTTCCTTTTGTTGTCGAGCGCATATTTCCAGCTGGCTTGGTCATCTCCCCCCCCCATGAAAGGTCAGAGCCCCCCCGCCGCTGCAGCCTTTTGGCCCAGGTGAGCCTCGTAACTCCCCGTCACTGTAACTCCCGCAGTCGCGTGGGGATTTTTTTATTTACAGGTTAAGCTCGATAACAAAGTGCGGCCTCTTCCCTGAGAGTGAGAATAAGGGGATCAGAGCTCAGCTAAGAGGCAGACCGGGGGATGGGAATGCAAGTGTCTAATAAACAGGGACGCCCAGGATCCTTTTATTTAGCTCAGAGTCGGTGCCGTTTTACCGCGATGAAAGTATGAGCCGCATATCATGTTTTGTCAATGGATATCTGGGGTCATTTTTCAATAGTGACACATTAGAAAGTGATGATAGGCTTGATGAGTTTGTGTGTGCAGTGAGGCTTTCTGCATCCAGTATGCATTTAATGTTGTATATTTTCACCA